AACCCAAAGAAATTTGTAAAAGAAACAGAAAACAATAAAATTTTGTTTTATTTTGGGTGTTAATTTGGACAAATTTTGGTTCTTCAACGAAAGGATAAATGGAAAGGGTACAGGTTCTTAAAAATTGGGGATAAATTTAGAAAAATTTTGGTAAACCAAATTATATAATAATAATTTCTTTTTAATAAATTCCTTGTATTTGAAAAAAGCCAAGCGGTCTTTCAATTATTTTAAACAATGGAATAAATGAATGAGTTTACTAATAGGATTTAATCTTAAAAAATGCTGAACAGTAGCTACGAACAGAATCTGGAAATGTGTAAGATGGTTATATTAAATACTTGGACTGAGTGATGAACTCTAAATTAGAGGTTAATTACTGACAGAAGCATTCTGCGCGTCATCTTTAGCAGACTATATTAAATGATTAACCATAGAGTTTTCATTTCCTAGGAGAAGGACATCACATATTCTATGAACAGCATTCTATTTGTGCACAGCGTGTATTTAAATTCTCCAAAACCTTAATATGAAGAACGGATCGCATGGCTCGTTCTTGAAGGAGTAACTCATTATTAAATACAATGGTAATGCTAGCGAGGCCAATATACAAGAAGTATAAAATATAGATAATCAATTAATGGGTGTAAAAGTTAGTATGACTAAGTTCGTGATCTAAAGAATTGGAATGTGTTGCAACAAATATGTTGAGTTAGGAATTTAATGCTGAAAAAAAAAGATTTACTCTTGATTTTAAACCAACAAGATTTTGATATAAAACAAAATATTTTGATAATTGATTACTAAGTTGTCATCAAACAATGGTAAACATCAAAAACTTAGTCAGGAGATTGTTTTTTTTAAGTTGGTTAGAGAAACAAAAATATTAAATTACATGACAATGAAATTCAAAGATTTTATTTATCCCCTCCTAAAACTAAGAAGATTTAAGGGTATCTTAAAGAAGTTATGATAAACAAAATAATCGTCTGTTTTAAAAATAACTTTATTCAATAGTTCATATTTGACAAAAGCCAAAAAAGGGTTAAAAGATATATAAAAACCAATTAAATTAGCAGTTGATTTGGAAATAACAAAGACTTTTCCTAATTTATTCTTAAATAGTTAATTTCGAATTTATATTTTTACTGATGAAATAAAAAAGAGATTCTGGCATTTTTCTGAGTGTTGATTTACATTACTAAAGGAAATTCATCAAATGAGAGGAAAATATATGTTTGCATTTTTTGTATGTGCTTTCATATGATCAGCATAACTAATTTCATTCAACTTAAAGATTTAACTCCATTCCTACATAATTAAATAATTATAAAGTGAGTTAGTTATTAATTTAAAAGGAATCTCTCCTCTTAATCATTTATTTAATAATGATTAAGGAAGATCCAAAACCAAATCATTATCAACTAAAATCTTAGCTTGTAAGATCTCAAAGAAAGAATATATCATTTCGTCTTTAAATAAAAGTAGAAAACAAAATCCAAATATATTGATTTTGATAAATTCTTAATAATCCTATCTTATTATCTCCTCTCAATCATCATAATCACTTCTCTCAAATCTCATAATTTGCCTGTCATTGGAGTCCTCTTGGGCCATATTCTGAAAAAATAATAACTCATCTCTTGAAGTGCTTGATTTTGCACTATGAATTCTTGAACTTTAGAAAGATATAAATTATCTAAATCGCTTTGTATTTTTCATTTATAATCTTGAAAATGAAATCAGATGATCGTTCAATTTCATAAATAAATAATTGATTCTATTTCTCTATTTTTCTTGATCCAAAATATTTTTTAACAGAATTGTAAAAATGAAATTTGGTACTTTCGAATACAGAAGTTAATTTATATAAAAAGATATTTATAAAACTTCTTGTAATTTCTTGCAAAATCAAAAATAAAAGGGCAACACATTTTTATGAAACATGCAATTATAAAAAATTATATCATAATAGAAGAACCAAAATAATCGTTTTATTCGCAAATTTATTTAATCAATGCTAATAATATTGAAATTGAACAAATTTGACTACTTTATAGGACTAAATTATTTAATTTTTGATTAATAAATGGCTGATGAAAAGTTGCTAATTTTTAATAGATCAATAAGCTTAATCCTAAGAGGGATGCGTTTAAAACTACTTCAGTTTCAAAATTGGTCAGAATAAATATAAAGATTGCTTTCTTAAGTAATTTAATTTATTCCCAATAAAATTTCTCTATCCTGTATTCATTCAACAAATATGATATATGTCTTCTAATTTTAATTTTATCTAATCTATTTTTATTTATCATCAATAGTAGTAATATCAGTAATGGGATTATGAAATTAATAATAATCAACCCAGGAATTATGAAATAAATCATCCATAATTAATGATCTTGAGTGCCATATTATCCTGGAAACCTCACCATGAATATAATAAATATTCGATACTTCTCTTTTAGAAACAACTGTTGAAAACCTAACTACTTTGATCATCATACATTTTAAATAATCCTGCAAAATTGAAAACATACTAATATAAAGCTTTGTTTGATAAAATGCTTAGATCATATTTTTGTTTAAGATATAGTAAATACAAATACGATCGAATAATTGTCATATTAAATTACATCACAATCAAAATTATCATTGTCAATATTTTCAGATATACATTTGGTATCGATTAAATAGAGGATACAAAGCAAATCCAAATCCTAAGACATAAAATAAGAACTATCACTGGTTTGTTCAATAAAGAGAAAAGAGAAAGAAAAGTCTAAGTTAAATGTAAATATCACAGAAAATATCCATAAGTAATTTAATAGCATTTTTATCAAAATACTTTCATGATCTAATAGTGAATAACCAAATTTTTACTTTAGTTTAATTTAAACAATAACTTTTTATATCTTTGACCTATCATTAATTATACATATAATAAGTTAAAGGAATGTATACTTTTTAAAGACAAAAATATAGATGCAAAAGCCCTAACATAAAAAAAATTCAATACCAAATGGCAATAATAAATGAGATTATCTAGCTAATTTCAAATTAACATTATAGACATTATAAATTCCATTAATTTTTAACATACTTACCAAATCCCCTAATATTATAAATATCACATTCTTCACACAAAGCACCAATATGAACTTCTTTACATGTATAATCACCCACCTTCCAACCTCAATTGCAAAATTAATGATTCTTAAAACAAGGCTCAACATAATCTGATAAATTATTTGGTCTCCAAAATCCTGGTGCATTTTTATCATGTTCGAGGTGATATCAGAATATTTTTCTTTATCAAAAATCACGCATTTTGTAGCATTGTATTTCACTGAATAATATCCGAATTTTGACTCACAAGTCTAACATCTACCATTTACATAATATTCGCCTATTTAGCATTTAAGGCTTTTTGCTTTTATTATATATAGTAATTCAGTTCTCGATTCAATTACTTAACAGTTAATTTCAATTTGTAAATGGTCATACGTTTACTCATTAGGATCTAGACTCAAGGATAACGATCCAAAATCAAAAGAATTCTATTCCTTTTCATAAAATAGTGTCTAAACATCTCCCACTCTTTATAATTCTGTAAAAGATTTTGTGATAATTTTATTTGTAATCTTACAGTAGAATTCAATTAATCAAATAGTATCTCATTTCTACTATTTTTGTAGAACAATCTAAATCTTAAAAAAAGGTTTGATAATTTAAGTTGTGAAAATCAAAAATTTATAAAGATTTAATCACCTAATTACTTGGTATTATTAAATCTTTTGTATAGATGGCTTTACCTTATTCAATCATTCTATACTTTCCTAAGTGTCAATATATTTGC